GGATATGTTTTTAATCCTCTGAATATTTAAGGGATCCATTGACAAAAACAGGAATGCATTTGTTTTACATAAAACTATATTAGATTGTCAAGAAAGTCATGATGTATTTTTCTTTTTTTGAGAGAGTATTTCTATAGGACATGCGTATTCACCAGAGAGACAGAGAAAGGCAGAGAGACAAAAAGTGAGAAATCAACCTCCAGGGGGATGGCCACACCACAATCCTTTCTCCTCCATTCTCTTCTCAGGGTCTTGAGCATGCACGCACACGCGCCCAGTGTATATATAAGGTCGCCAGTCCGGGACTCAAACCACAGTCGACTAAATGGGAATCCAGCAATGTAACCTTTATGATATCTGCTGGTCTGTCATGATGTATTTTCCATGTTTTTCTATGCAAAAATGTATCATGACTTTTCTGTCAACCCAATATGTAGGACCAGCATGTGGTGTGGTGGATCGCACATGGCCTTCTATGTAGTTTGAATCCCAGACCCAGTAACTTGAAAAACAGGCATTCACACATGTCTGAATGTGTGTGTGTGTGTGTGTGTGTGTTTTGAGAGAGAGATTTTTGTTATAAGGTATGTGCACTCACCAGAGAGACAGAGTGACAGAAAGCAAGAGATCTCTGCCCAAGGGGTTGGCCATTCCAGAATCCCTTCTCCATTCTGCATCCACATACCCCCCCCCCCCGGGAGTTTTAAGTTGCTAGATCTGGGACTTGCACCACAGTCAACTGTGTGGGAGTCGAGCAGCAGAAGCATTATGCCATCTGCTGGTTCCCTGAATGCGTTTTTCAAGTTCTATGTAAGGCCAGTAACTTGATTCCCTCATTCAGTCATTTAAGTAACCACCATATCACCAGCTGGTGCCCAACATTTCCTTCTTTATACAGAAGGTGTCCCTGGAACATGATTCTCCTGTCTGACCCTCTCAAGAGTGTACCACCAGGCCCAGGTCTTCTATACAGGGTTTGCTATCTTGGCTGTGCTGGCCCTGAGCTCATAATCCTCCTGTCTCAGCCTTCCAGTTTGGATTACAAGACCCACCATTATGCCTGGCCTTTTATGGTGGGTGTGGAAGCAAACCTGAGCTTCCCATGTGCCCTCAGCCTGCCAAGCAGCACTGTCCAGAGCACACCATTGCAGGAAGTCCCGATAACATCTTTGTAAATGACTGCTATTTTTGCCTCTTTCCCGACAGTCACCCCAGCTCCATGGAACCAGAAAATCACACACATTTTTCAGAATTCATCCTCCTCAGACTCTCACAAGAGGCAGACCTTTAGCCCATCCTCTTGAGACTGCTCCTATCCATGTACCTGATTACTCTGACTGGCAATCTACTCATTATCCTAGCCACCATCACTGACTCCCACCTGTACACACCCATGTACGCCTTCCTCTCCAACCTGTCTTTCTGTGACATCTGTTTTACCTCCACCACTGTTCCAAAGATGCTGCTGAACATTTATGTGCAGAACAAAACCATCACCTATGATGGCTGCCTTGCCCAAATACATTTTTTTATCCTTTTTGGAGAGTTAGTTATTTTCCTCCTGTCTGTGATGGCCTATGACTGGTACATGGCCATCTGTCACCCCCTACACTACATGGTCATCATGAACCCCTGGCTCTGTGGCATGGTGCTGCTGACATTCTGGATTTTGAGTGTCCTGGACTCCCTGTTCTGGGTTTTGCTGATATTACGGTTGTCTTTCTGCTCCAACATGGAGATCCACCACTTCTTCTGTGAAATCAACCAGGTTGTCCAGCTGGCCTGTTTGGACACCCTTTACAAAATCATCAAGACATATCTCACCACTGGGCTGATGGGTATTATCTCCTTTTCTGGGATCCTTTATTCTTACTCCCAGATCATCTCCTTCATACTGAAGATTACATCCACCAGAGGGAAATATAAGGCGTTTTCCACCTGTGGGTCTCACCTCTCCATTGTGTTCTTGTTTTATGGCACAGGTCTTGGGGTGTACTTCAGTTTGGCTTCTACCCACAATTCCAATGCCAGCACAACTGCTTCAGTGATATACACTGTGGTTACCCCAATGCTGAACCCATTTATCTACAGCCTGAGGAACAAGGATATCAAGAGGGCCCTGAAGCATCTTTTCAGCACAGTCCCTTCCAATGAGTGACAGGAATATTTTCCTTGGAGTTTGGCAAGTGCCTAAGAGCCAGGAACAAGAGTGGCATCCAGGCAGGTAGTGATGTTGGGGCAATGTAAGTGCACCCACAAGGAAAGGTCCGCAGTTTAATCCCAGGGGCTGTTTGTACATATCTGGGTGTTCTTGTGCCATGATCCAGGCTGGGTGAGACTGGAGGTGGATTGTATTGTGAAGATCCTTTTGGGTGTTAGGCACTCTCTTATTCTCTGACTGGAGGAAGAAATAGGTAAATACACTTTAAAATGTAATGGCTAGAGACAGCTAGGAGAAGGGTGGGTGGTAGGGGAGAGTGGAGAGAAAATCAAGGGGAAAAATTACATTTGGACTAGTATGCAATGTATTCACACTGGGAAGATTCATTTTGTCTGCCATAAAGATGTACCATCATCAAATGTAAAAAAAAAAAAAGAAAGAAAGAAAGAAAGAAAAGACAAGAAAGAATAGCATTGTAAATCCTGACTTTTTTCCCCCAGGTTTTTGCTGTAGGGTAGTTGTACTTGCTAGAGAGAGGCAGAGAAAGGTAAAGTAAGAAATCACCCCCCAGAGGGGATGGCCATCCCACAATCCCTTCTCTTCCATTTTTCTCTCACAATTTACAGCACAAACACATACATGCCCGGAGTGTGTTTGAAGCTGCTGGATCCAAGACTCAAACCTCTGTCAACCACATGGAAGTCCAGCAACATAATCATCACACTGTTTGCTTGTCCCCCAAGAATGATTTTTAAGCCACCAGGTCCAGAACATGAACCACTGTTGGCCATGGATCCATTGCCTTAACCACCACATCACCTGCTAGCCCCCAAATCCTGACATTTTTGGTATTTCAGATATCTTTCTCTTTTATCTCTCTTTATCCCTGTGGCCCTTAAGTCAATGATTCCGTATGCTTCATGTATTTTTTCTTTTTTATTATTATCCTATGACATGAACAAGTAATAACTATACAGTTATGAGACATGATGCTATTTGTATTTTTCTAACACTGCTTTTTTTTGGGGGGGATTGCTTTAAGTACATTCCTTTTCTTGATTGTCAACTTCTTTTCACATTTCAGATCTTTCTTTTCCTAAAAGTAATTTCCAAGTTTGAGCAGAAGTCACTGGGGAAGACTCGCTTATTTCAAATGATAATGATGGATTTTTCTACAAATACTATTGCATTGATTTTTAAGAGGTTTTTGCTTCAGGGCACATGTGCTTGGCAGAGGGAGACAGAGACAGTAAGGGAGAAAGTGAGAATTCACCCTCCAGGAGGCATGGCCATGGCACAATTCCTTCTCCTTCACTCTTTTCTCAGGATTGTGAAGATGCACGCACATGCTCCTTGGTTGATTTTCAAGCCACTGGGTCTGGGACTCGAGCTGTGGTCAGCCATGTGGGAGTCCAGTGCCTTTACCACTATACCACATGCTGCCATGATAGACTAATTCTTTGAGAATGGAAACTTGGTAAATCAAATGCAAGAAGAACGAGAGGGTTAGTTCTGTGGTATAGTGGTAACACACTGCTCCAGGGTAGCCAGATCCCACATGGTGACTGCAGTCCAAGTCCCCACCCAGTTTAGCCTGGAACATACCCAGCATGTGCACAAGAAACAAGGATCTGACAGATTGGACTGAAAGAAAGATTGAATGCAGTTTGTTTGTTTTTTTACATTATTAATTGGATTAAGAATTTCCATGCTTCTCATGTCTCCAGGACCTGTACATATAGTACTTTTTGTAGCTATTTATTTTCCTGACTCTCTCCTGTATTTCCTTTGACAGCCATACCTGAATGACCGTGTTATAAATAGAAAAAAAATAGAGGCCAGCAGGTGATGCAGTGGTTAAGGTGCTGAACTTCCACATGGACGACAACAGCTCGAATTCTGGATCCAGTGGCTTGATACTCATGCTGTGTGTGTGTGTGTGGGTGTGT